GAAACACAAGGACCTTGTCAAGCTTATGTCCTTGTTTCCTTCATAGCAGACCAAGGCTGCGGTGGCCATGAGCATGCCACTACACTCCAACCTGGATGACAGAGTAAGACTCTGACTCAAAAAAAAAAAAAAAAGCTGGCACAGTCACAGTCACAACCATCTGCTTTCAACAGAACCACCCAAAAATAGCTAACTAGTATAAACTCACAATGTATATCAAATTCTCTTTAAAGAGAGCCCATTTATCATTATATAATATTAAGAGTCTTTAAGGGCATTTCATTTCATTGTCTCTGAATGCGTTCCCTTCTTTTTTTTTTTTTGAGTTGGAGCCTCACTCTGTTGCCCAGACTAGAGTGCAGCCTCGACCTGCTGGGCTCCGGAAATCCTTCCACCTTAGCCTTCCAAGTAGCTGGAACTACAGGCGTGCGCTACCATGCCCGGCTAATTTTTTGATTTATTGTAGAGATAAGGTCTCGCCAAGTTGCCCAGGCAGGTCTCGAACCCATGGGCTCAGGCAGTCCACTCACCTCAGCCTCCCAAGGCAAGGGATTACAGAAGCCACCGAGCCTGGCTGCGTTCCCTTCTTAAATGACTGTTTCATGTTCCCCTAAATACTTTCTCATTTGGGAAATCAAAATTATATGACACTATTTTATAAAATAGGGCAAAAGCATGTGTTCATCTTTGTGTCCTCTGTCTAGTATTGTATCTGGCACACAATAAATGCTTCTTGAAAGAATGATTTGTATTTTAGAGAAAATATGTTCTTGGTATTAAAATACACGCACGCTATCTAGTCTGTTATTCCTGGCTAATACAGGCCGAGCTCATTCCTTTGTGTCCCTTTCAGTCCCTGACATCCACCCCACATTCATCAACATCTGTGCATTCTGTACTTTTTGCGGTTCCTGTTGGTATATTGAGCACTGAATTCAAGTTCTGCCACTACAGAGCTGTCAAATTTGAAGCCAAATACTGAATATCTCGACACCTCCATTTCTTCAAATGGAAAATGGTGGCATCTGAATGGATGAGCTCTAAGACAACCTCCAGTTCTTAGATGGGACACTTAAAAAGGTAGAGAAAAAAGAATTAGTCAAGTCAGAAAGAGGAGGTAATGCCTGCAGATCTTTAACATATTCAGTGTTTATAAATGTCAATTTTACTTGCCAAAATTTCTCACTTGAACCCTGTCTTTGGCAAAGAATGTGAAGGAACTTCTTTGGGTGAAGGCCCATCTGCCGACCATGTCTGAGGTCTCCCTAGGACCTTTCTGACTGACAGTGTTTGGGTAACTGAAAAATGTGGGGCAACCCCCTCAGGTCCTTTCCCACTGTATGAGCTTTTCTGTCCTCTCAATAAATCCTGCTTTCAAAAAACAAAAAGAAGAAAAATGCGTCTGCAGGCAGACAGAGAGGCACAGAAAGCAAGCTGCCCTGGCATAAGATATTCAGCAGAAGGACATCGCTGGAGGACTCCGCAGCTAGCTAGCTATCTCTGGGCATGACACATGAGCGTACTGGTGAGCTGAAGAATTAACGGTGTGTTAAGAACTGCTTTGTTGGTTCTTATGAAATCAGATGTCAGCAGATAAAGGTTGCTGCACCTATAGCCAAGAAGCCTTTCCCACCAATTATCGCCAGGGTTTTCCCTGTGGTCAAAAGATGTACGTGGAACAGGTGGGTCCAATGTCAAACTTCCTTATCAGTCCCTATTCAGCAGACTCAGCAATACCCACGGCCCACAACATGGACACAGCAGGCATCAGCACCTGCCTTGTGGAGTGAAGTCGGGTCAAAGTCTTATTGTACTGACAGTATATCTCATCTCTCTTGGTTTTTGTTATTTATTTATCTGTTTGTTTATTTTTGAGTTGGCGTCTCACTCTGTTGCCCAGGCTGGAGTGCAGTGGGCATGCTCACAGCCACCGCAACCTCAACCCGCTGGGCTTAGGCGATCCTTCCGCCTCAGCCTTCCAAGTAGTTGGAACTACAGGTGCGCGCCTGGCTAACCATGCCTGGCTAATTTTTTTATTGATTGTAGAGATGAGGTCTCACCAAGTTTCCCAGGCTGGTCTCGAACCCATGGGCTCAGACAATCCTCTCACCTCAGTCTTCCAAAGTGCTGGGATTATAGGCGTGAGCCACCGCGCCTGGCCTACTTATTTATTTATTTATTTGAGTTGGAGTCTCACTCTGTCGCCCAGGCTGGATTGCAGCGGCACGCTCACGGCCACTGCAGCCTCAGCCTGCTGGGCTCAGGTGATCCTTCCACCTCAGCCTTCCAAGTAGCTGGAACTGCAGGCACTTGCAGCCACACCCAGCTGATTTTTTGATATATATTTTTTTGAATTGGAGTCTCACTTCATTGCCCAGGCTGGAGTGCAGTGGCATGCTCATGGCCACCCCAGCGTCAACCTGCTGGGCTCCAGCAATCCTCCCACCTCCGCCTTCCAAGTAGCCAGAACTACAGGTGCGCACTACCACCCCTGGCTAATTTTTTTATTTATTGTAGAGATGAGGTCTTGCCAAGTTGCCCAGGCTGGTCTCGAACCTGCGGGCTCAGGCAATCCCCTCACCTTGACCTCCCAAAGTTCTGGGATTACAGGCTTGAGCCACCACTCCTAGCCTCATCTAGTTTTTATTTTTATTTATTTATTTATTCTATTTTATTTATTTATTTATTTTAGTTGGAGTCTCACTCTGTCACCCAGACTGGAGTGCAGTGGCTGCTCCCGGCCACCGCAGCCTCAACCCGCTGGGCTCTGGCGATCCTTCTGCCTCAGCCTTCCAAGTAGCTGGAACTACAGGCGCGTGCTACCACGCCCGGCTCATTTTGATTTTATTGTAGAGATGAGGGCTTGCCAAGTTACCCAGGCGGGTCTCGAACCCGCGGGCTCAGGCAGTCCACTCACCTCAGCCTCCTAAAGGCACGGGATTACAGACTGAGCCACCGAGCCCGGCTTCTCATCTAGTTTTTAACTAGTATTATTTGAATTAAATTTAGGACTCTCGAATTACATTGTTTTAGTCCCAACATTTCAGCCATGTAAAAACAGGAAACACTTATTGCAAATTGATTTTTGATAGGGGTACCATGCCAATTCAAGGGAGAAAGAAGATTTTTCAACAAGTGGTGCTAGACAACTGGATATTCACGTGCCATAGATTGAAGTTGAGCCACTTCCTCACACCATACACAAAAACTAACTTAAAAAGGTTAACAGACCTGAAAGTAAGAGCTAAAATTATAAAATGCTGCAGCTGTGCATTGTGGGTCACGCCTGTAATCTTGATACTTCGGGAGGCCGAGGTGAGAGGATTACCTGAGCTCATGGGTTCGAGACTAGATTGGGCAATTTAGCGAGACCTCATCTCTACAGTAAATAAAAATTAGCTGGGCATGGTGGCACATGCCTATAGTTCCAGTTACTTGGAAGGCTGAGGTGGAAGGATCGCCTGAGTCCAGCAGGTCGAGGCTGTGGTGGCCGTAAGCATGCCACTGCACTTCAGCCTGGGCAACAGAGTGAGACTCTGACTCAAAAAAAAAATTTATAAATGCTTCAAAAAAACATAGGCTTAAATCTTTGTGACCCTGAATTAGGCAGTGGTTTCTTAGATATGACACCAAGCACAAGTGACAAAAGAAAGTCGATAAGGTGGAGTACATCAGAATGAAAATGTTTCATTCTGCAAGTGAGACCATCAAGAAACTGAAATGACAAACCACAGAGTGGGAGGAAACATGAAGAAATACTACATCTGAGAAGGAAAAGTGTTGGCGTCCAGAATATATGATAAAGAACACTTACAACTTCTTAAAAAAGATCACCACGGCCGGGCATGGTAGCTCACTCCTATAATCCCAACACTTATTGCCTGAGCCCACGGGTTCGAGACCAGCCCAGGCAACTTGGTGAGACCTCATCTCCACAATAAATCAAAAAATTAGCCAGCTGTGGTGGTGCATGCCTGTAGTCCCAGCTACTTGGAAGGCTGAGGTGGATGGATTGCCTGAGCACAGCAGGTTGAGGCTATGGTTGAGGCTATGGTGGCCATGAGCGTGCCACTGCACTTTAACAACAGGAAGAAATAAAGAGAGAATAAAGCATTTTCTGTTGTTGTTGTTGTTATTGGAGTCTTACCCTGTTATACAGGCTGGAGTGCAGTGTCATGATTGTGACTCATTTTAAACTCGACCTGCTGGACTCAGGCAGTCCTTCCACTTCAGTCTCCCAAGTAGCTGGAACTACAGGCACATGCCACCATGCCTGGCTAATTTTTTAAATTTATTGTAGAGACAAGGTCTCACCATGTTCTCTAGGCTGTTCTTGAACTCCTGGGCTCAGACAATTCTCTTGCCTCGGCCTCCCATAGTGCTGGGATTACATGTATGAGCCACTGCACCCAGCCTGTGTAACAGGGTAAGACTGCACCCAAAATGATACGTTTTTGCAGTTGGGAGACCTAGTATTCTTTGTCCTCCCCTACCCCCTATTTCTTCCTTTCTGGCGTTTTTCTAGCTAGCCTTGCTTATTGATTTCTCCATATAAGTTTTAGAATCAGTTTGTCTAGTTCCAGGAACAAGAACAAGCTTGCTATATTTTTTTGTCTATATTTATTTGTTTGTTTGTTTGTTTGTTTGTTTGTTTGAGTTGGAGTCTCACTCTGTCACCTAGGCTGGA